TGTATGTAATATTGGTGGGCATATAACACATAAGAATGTGATTATTTGCCAAAAATAACACAAAGAATGTGAATGGGAGAAAGCTGTATTGAGTTAAAGAAATGAGTCCAGGTAGTAAATTGAATCCAAAAGAACAAATGAAGATAACAAGAAAATATAAATAAGGAGATTAATATAACAAAAGCTAGAAATATATATTTATTTCCCTTTCTTCTCTCAGTATCTTTAAAAGATGTACTGTTATATAAAGTAATTATAACACATATTGTTGGATTTCTTGCATTTATAGATATAATATAAAACAATAATACCACCAAAAGGGAGGAAAGGGAATAGAGCTATATGGGAGCACTGTTCCTACATCTCATCTGAATTAAGTTAGTGTATATCCGAAGCTGATTCTGCAAGATAGGATGTAGAGCGAACACTAATGAAATAACTTTAAAAGGGTAAAAAATCATTAAAGAAATTAAAGTGCTACATTAAGAAATAGTAACTTTTGCAAATAAAGTAGTAAAGGAGTTACAGAGGAACAAAAAAGAAATGAAGTACATAGAAAAAAAATTAAGTACAATGGCAGCCATAAAACCAACAAAGTATATTGTCTGATCACATTTAAATGAAGCTAGAATTCAATAGTAGGGGGAAACTGGAAAATTAACAAATATGTGGGAATTAAACAACATATTCAAAAAAAATGGATCAAAGGAAATTAGAAAATACTTAGAGTTGAATGAAAATGCAGACATAACCTACCAAAACTTATGGAATGCAGCTAAAGTAGCACTTAGAGGAAAATGTATGGTTGTAAATGCCTGTATTAGAAAAGTAGAAAGATCTCAAATTAATAACCTAAACTTCCTCCTTAAGACACTGGGTAAAAAAGGAGCAAACTAAACTTATGGAATGCAGCTAAAGTAGCACTTAGAGGAAAATGTATGGTTGTAAATGCCTGTATTAGGAAAGTAGAAAGATCTCAAATTAATAACCTAAACTTCCTCCTTAAGACACTGGGTAAAAAAGGAGCAAACTAAAACTAAATCTAACAGATGGTAGAAAACAATACGTAGAGAAATTAATGATATTGAGAATACAAAAGCAATAGAGACAATTAATAAAACCAAAAGCTGGTTTTTTGAAAAGATCAGCCAGATTGACAAACATTTAGCTAGACCACACAAGAAGAATAGAGAAAAGGCTGAAACTACTAAAATCAGAAATGAATAGAAATCATTACTACTGGCCTTTCAGAAACAAATAGAATTTAAAAGGAATACTATAAAAAAATTGTATGTCAGTAAATTAGATTAATTACATGAGATGAACAACTTCCTAGAAAAACACAACCTACCAAAACTGAGTCAAGAAGAAATAGACAATTTGTCTAGTTCCCTAACAAGTGAAGGGATTGAATTAGTAATCAAAAATCTTACAACAAAGAAAAGCCTAGGTACAGATAACTTCACCACTGATTTCTATCTAAAATTTTAAGACTCTTCCAAGAGAATTCTGGCTTCTATGAGGCCAGCATTGCCCTGATACCAAAACCAACAAAGACATTACAAGAAAAAAAAACTACAGACCAGTGTCTCTTTGAGTATGACTGCAAAAAATCTCAATAAAATACTAGTAAACTGAATTCAGCAACATATTTAAAAAATTATACACCATGACCAAGTAGAATTTATCCCAGGAATGCAAGCTTAATTTATCCTCTGGAAATTAATTAGTATAATTCACCATAAATATAATAAAAAAGAAAAAAGCACATGATTATCTTAGTAGAAACAGAAATAGGACTTGACATAACTTAACATTCTTTCATCATAAAAACCATCAAGAAACTAATGGAAGAAAACTTCCTCAACCTGACAAAGAGCATATATAAAAATCCAAGGTTAACAACATACTTAATGTTGAAAATCTGGATACATTCACCCTAAGATCAGAAACAAGATAAGGATGTCCACTCTAAGCACTTGTATTCAACATTGTATTGAAAGTTCTTGCGAGGTCAATCAATTTGGAAAGAAGATAAAATAAAAGACATTCAGATTGGAAAGGAAGAAATATTGTATATAGAAACCTACTAAAAAAAACTACTAGAATTAATAAACAAGTTCAACAAGGTTGCAAGATACAAGATCAATATACAAAATTTATTTGTATTTCACTTGCAATGGAAAATATGCCAATGAAATTAAGAAAACAATTTTGTTTTCAATGACATCAAGAAGAAAATAATACTTATAAATAAGTTTAAGAAAAGAAGTTCAGAACATTCTCTAAAACTACAAAACATGTTTAAAGAAATTAAAGAGGACCTAAATCAATAAGAAAACATACTATGTTCATGGATCAAAGAATTAATGTTGAAAAGATGGCAATACTCCCCAAATTGATTAATAGATTCAATGCAATCCATATCAGAAGCCCCATGATTTTTTGTAGCAATTTACAAGTTTATTGTAACATTCAAATGCAATTGCAAGGTATCCAGAATAGCTAAAACATTCTTGAAAAAGAACAAAGTAGAAGGACTTACACTTTCCTATCTCAAAACTTACTACAAAGGAACAGTTATCAAAACAATGTAATACAGGATAGACATACAGATAAATGGAATATAATTGAGAGTCCAGAAATAAAACCACATGTCTATGGTCAACTAATTTTTGACAAGGGTGCCAAGACTACTCAATGAGAAAAGAGTAGTCTTTTCAACAAATAATGCTGGATCAGCTATACAGGATATCCAGCCATGTGCAAAAGAGAGAGGTTGGACCCTTATGTCACATCATATATAAAAATTGAAGTGGACCAAAGACCTATATATAGGAGCGAAAAACTATAAAACTCTTACAAGAAAACATAAGAGTAAATCATGACCTCAGATTTCATAATGGATCTTTAGATAAGATACCAAAAACATGAGCAAAAAGAAAAAAATAGATCAACTGGTAGTTGATCAAAGCATACCATCAAGAAAGTGAAAAGACAACCCACAGAATAGGAGAAAATATTTACAAATCATATATCAGATAAAGGACGTGTATCTACAATATGTAAAGAACTATGATATAGCAAAAGTGCCTTCTCTTCCAGTCCCTTTGGTTTTAGCCACAGAAGAGAGATGATGAAGGGAACGTCATCATTTGGAAAGCATCAAAATAAAACACACACGTTGTGCCACTTCTGTGGTTCTAAGGCCTACCACCTTCAGAAGTTGACCTGTGGCAAATGTGGCTATCCTGCTAAGTGTACGAAAAAACATAACTGGAGTACCAAGACTAAAAATACCACTGGGACTGGTACAATGAAGCACCTAGAAATTGTATAACGCAGTTTCAGGCATGGATCCCATAAAGGAACAACACCTAAACCCAAGACAGCAACTGTTTCAGCATCCAGTTTATCTTAAGAATTTCAATAATTAGTCACATAATAAATGTTCTGGTTTTAAATATATACATATATGAACTCTTACAACTCCATGATAAAAAGACAACCCAATTTAAAAATAGACTGAGGATCTGAATTGATGTTTATCCAAGGAAAGCTGATAAGCACATGAAAAGATGTTTGATGTCGTCATGCATCAGAGAAGTGCAAATCAAAACCATAAGGAAATGCCACTTCGCACACACCAGGATGGCTATGATCAAAAAGACAGAAATAACAAGTGTTGATGAGAATGTAGAGAAATCAGAACCCTCATAAACTAGTAACTGGATTGAAAAATGGTGCAGCTGCTTTGGAAAACAGTCTGGCAAACAATTAAACATAGGATTACCATATGATCCAGCAATTCCACTACGAAGTGTATATCAAAGAGAGATGAAGAAATATGTCTGCACAAAAAGTTGGACACAGATATGTATAGCAGCATTATTTATACTAGTCAAAAGGTAAAAACAAGCCAAATGTCCACCAACTGATGAATGGATGAACAAAATGTGGTACATCCATACAAGGAATATTATTCAACCATAAGAAGGAATGAAGTCCTGATACATACCACAGCATGGGTGAATCTTGAAAACATTAAGCTAAGAAGTCAGTCACAAAAAGCCTAATATTATAAGATTTGTTTTATATGAAGTGTCCAGAATAGGCAAATCTATAGAGACAGAAATTAGTTTGGTAGTCACTTAGGTCTGGAGGACAATGAGGAAAAGCTAAAGTGTACACACTTTCTTTTTAAGGAGATTAAATGTTCTAAAATTGACTATAGTGATGGTTGTACATATCTGTGAATATACAAAAATCATCAGATTGTATGCTTTAAAGGAGTGAATTGCATGGTATGTGAATTGTACCTCAATAAACACATTTTAAAATGTAGTACAGAATTCCAGGCATATATTCAGGAAATTTTCAAAGGACTAGTTTGTCAGCAATCACAGCTGTTTCTCTGTCTCTTCTAACACTGTTTTCCCACATGTAAGTGCTTCATGGAATATTGCCAGATGGCATAATACTTTCCCCCAAAATTTCTAGGAATGTCTGAAATGATTAGATATTCACTCATCACAGTTGGAATGAGATTGCCACTTTTCTTGCTACATTTTGCATAGCCACCCAGATTTCCCCATCTTCTAGGGGTGAGAACATCTGGGAATCTAATTTGGAGACTAGTTCTGTAGAACAAAAATTATTAACCATAAGAATATTCAGGAAGTGAGAAGAGACTGGTGAGGGATATTGGAGAACAGGCTAGAAGTAGACAACAGATTTAATTTTAACTTTTCACCAGATTAACTTCACATTCTGTAAATGTCAACCTGAAAATTTTTCGTAAGCTGCACTTCTGTGCAAAGGTCCACAGGTAGAGTTGATTCAACACTATTTTTTTTTTTACCATATCTTATTAATTGTCCTAGGAAAATGGTTATTTTTAACAAACTATTAGAGCTTGATTTTTCACTCAGACAAGGAGAAAGTGGATATTTTGGTTGTCTTCGTGAATTATTTTTCATTTTCTTTCTGTCTTCAAATAGGAACGCCTGCCTAAGCCTGAAGTTCCCTGGCTACTTACTGCCACATTGTCTTTTTTCGTGTCCGGCAACGGATCGCAACCCTCAGTGTCGCGCCCAGACCGGACCGGACCGGCAACGGGATCGCAACCCTCGGTGTTGCGCCCACACCTCGCTCAGCCAGTGAGCGGGAACCGGTCTGTATGTGGGATCCGAACCCTCGGCGGGAGCGCCACCGTGCTCCCAAGTGGCGCACTGTAGCAGTGCGCCACCGGGCCAGCCCATGTGAATTGCTTTTTGTCACAATTCTTGAGTTGAATGCTTGGCCCATGAATTTTCAGTATTTCATATTTATTATTACATCCATTTTAAAGGTGTAAATTTACCTCTAAGTATTGCTTCAGCTGCATCCTGTATCTTTTTTAACTTTTTTATTGAAAACATACATACAAAAAAGTGCACAAATCAAAATTGTACAACTTGATTTACTATCACAAACTATACATACAAAAAAGTGCACAAATCTATTTACTATCATATGGATATGAACCACCACCCAAATCAAGAAGTAGAACAGTACCAGCATCCCAGGATCCCCTCAGGCTCCCACTTTCCCTTTTCTCCCAAGTAACCACTGCTCTGAATTATAACGTTCTTTATTAATTTTCCCCACAAGTTTTAATATGTAGCCATTTCAATTCTAAAAGTACACTTGTTAGTTCAAAAGCATTTAGGATTTGGGGGACCATCTCTTTACTGTTTATAATTTAATCATATTATGGAAATTATGCTCATGGTTTGCTTTAAAATTGATTTTTTGCAATCATTTAGACTTTTTTTGTACCCTAGGTCATGTTCAGTTTTATGTAAAATGTTCCATGGATGTTATTTCTTGGATGCAGGGTTCCATATGTGACCTACAGCTCAAACTTATTAATTGTGGTGTTTATCTTACTAATGTTTTTTATACTTGATCTGTCAAAGTCTAGGAGAAGTATATTGAGGCTTTCCACTATGGCAATTTCCCTTTGTAATTTTGGAATTTTTCCCATTATACTTTGTGATAGTGTGCTATTATATACAAATTCTTACTAATGTTTTTTATACTTGATCTGTCAAAGTCTAGGAGAAGTATATTGAGGCTTTCCGCTATGGCAATTTCCCTTTGTAATTTTGGAATTTTTCCCATTATACTTTGTGATAGTGTGCTATTATATACAAATAGATTTAGAATTATTATCTTCCTAGTAAACTGTTCCTTTTTTACTAAATAATATTCCTCTTTACTCTGAAAAATGCTTTTTTGCCTTAAAATGTATTTTTTGTTTTTTCATTTGTTTGTTTTTTGTGGTGGCTGGACAGTACAGGGATCAAACCTTGGACCCTGGTGTTGTCAGCACCACACTCTAACCAACTGAGCTAGCCAGCCAGCCCTTAAAATATATTTTCTAATATTAATATTATAACATTAATACTATTCTTTTGGCTGGTATTTCCCCTCTATATATTTCTACACTCCACTTCAATTCTTTTGTGTCATCATCTTGCTTCTGATATACTGTTAGTGGGATTTTGTTGTGTTTTGAGGAGTGTGAATGTCTTTTTTAACAGGCAAGTTTTAATCCAGTTGTATTTATTATGGTTATTGATATATTTCAGTTTTTCTCAACTGGGGAATATGTTGTCCCCTAAGGGACATTTGGTAATGTCTGGAGACATTTTTGTTTGCCACACTGGGCTGGTGCTACTGGCATCTACTGGGTAGAGGCCAGGGAAACAGCTAAATATCCTACAATGCTCAGAACACCCCTCCACAACAAATTACTACTTGGTCGAAAATGTCAATATTAATGAAATTGAGAAACTGATCAGTTTTGACTGACTTCTATCATTGTATTTTTAGGGATCTTTTTCCAGGCTTTTTCTTTGCTTCCTTTTTTTCTTCTTTCTTGACTTCAGGTGGGTTGTCCACACTCTTTTTATTTATTTCCCCCTCTACTGACTTGAAGTTCTATTTCTACTTTTTAAGTAATTACTCTTATACTTCTAATATTTATATTTATTTAACTAAATATATCCAGTAAGTGGTGGTTTAAAGTCTACATGAACCAGAATTCCTGGGATCCTAATATACTCATTTGACTTCTAAATAAAGACTAAGAAAAAATGCTCTTCAATAAACGCATCAAATAAAAATTGTGTTTCTATATTATGCACCAGTTAAACAAGACGGCTAGAGGAAAAGGTAGAACACAAAAAGAAAAATACTCATAGGAGAAGCCCAGAGATGGACAGTTAAAGACAGACCCATAAACAGAACGGGCTAGATGGAGCCTCATCTACACAGAGGCAAAGAAAGAGGGAAGTGTGGAAGTTGAAAAGCAAAGTAACTCTGGGGATAACTCATTATTTTTTAATGCAAGGCACCGTTGTTATCCCTATCAATTAGGACTAAAATTTCAGCAATATGAAAAAACTTTCCTGCTTTCATTTGTTAAATTTCAAGGTTTATTCCAGAAATACTACAGAATTATAGAAGTTTGCAATACATGTATGCCAGGATGGCTGGTGTTCTAAAAATGAGTTTTAGATCTTTGCAGGTAATGTTTCATAATTAATTCCACTGTCATTCTTACCTTCAAAAACTTCCTAATGGTCTTAATCTTTTGTCTTTTATGATTTCTAAGTGCATTGTGTCCTATTAGTTGAGAGTTACCATTTAAAATATGAATTATTAGATTCTGTTTTATTAGCCAGAGTCCTAGTGATTATACAATAAATAATGAGAACCTCAGGGGAAAAGTAGTCCTTTAGAAATGAATGATTCTGCTACCTGGTCCTCAGAGTTATGCAACCACCTTCAACTAAAGAGCACTGTGGCATGGTGTGTCCATGTAACTGTCTATAGTACATAGAGAAATTAGACGTCTTGCAAAGGTGAACACTACTCCAGGGCCATGGTCATAAGTGTCACTAAATTTTGAAGTGTCATCAGCTCTTTGATTGCTGTTATTAGGCCCTCAGAGGAGAGCTCCAGCCGGCCAGCTAGAGAAAATAGTTTTCCAGCCTGAAATGCAAGTCAACAGTTTTACCTAATGTTCAGCCCAGGGAATGTGTTTCATCACTGAAGAACACACTGACTGTGTTGGCTTTCTGTGAAGTTTATAGCACACCAGGCATCCTGCACCTATAGAAATTTCAATGCTAATTCTTACTATATGTTACAAGCGTGTAAGAGCTAACTATGATCCTAACCTTCATATAAAATGCACGATAATTTCTTATAAATATTCTATGGCTGAGAAACACCAGGCATCCTGCACCTATAGAAATTTCAATGCTAATTCTTACTATATGTTACAAGCGTTGTAAGAGCTAACTATGATCCTAACCTTCATATAAAATGCACGATAATTTCTTATAAATATTCTATGGCTGAGAGGTGGGGGGGAAAGATGATATATTCTGTTTATTATTGCATGAAGTATATATGTCAATTTATTTGTCTATTATTTATACTGTTCAAATTATATATGCCAGAGTTGGCCAGTTAGCTCAGTTGGTTACACTGCAAGGGTTCGGATCCCTGAATTGGCCAGCCACTGAAAAAAAAAAAAATACAAATTATATCCTCCAGAATTTTGAATTTACTTCATCTGTCATGAAGTGATAATTGCATGTTATTTTCCACCACTGTTATGTTTTTTTCTGCTTTTTCTTCTTCCTCCAATAGTGACTGATGTACTTTTGTGCTATTTTCTGGCACATATAGCTTCATTATATTGTGTTTTTATTATAGAATTTGCATTTTAATTAATATAACTTGACCTATTTTGTCCCATTTGTGTGCCTTGAATTCTAATTTATCCAATATTACTCATCACTTCAATCTTCTTTTTGCTCACATTTGCTTGATGTATCTCTGTGTGTCCTTTTATTTTTATTTTTTTTTAATTTTATTAATATTACTTTTTATATTCTATGATGTTGTTGCAGAGCAGTTGAGAGGGAGAGGGAGAGGGGAAAGGGAAAGGAAATGGGATGGAAGAAGGAGGAAGGAGGAGGGGCAGGATTAAGGCCTATGGCACTCCCCACATTCCCACAGGGGAGACCAGGGGGCTTCCAGTGGTGGCTTGGTTATTGCCTGGCTGGGTGCAGATGTCAAGGGGGTGTGGCAATAGCCCTCACCCCCCACCACTCCAGCTCAGGATCCTGAGGCCCTTCTTGCTGAGGTTTGCTCGTCGTCACTGGGCTGGTTGAGCGTGGGAGAGCATGGCCGAGACCCTCGGTCCCCCACCACCCTGGTTTGGGAGAGCCTGGGGCACCTCCTGTGGTGGCTCAGTGGTTGTCACTGCGCTGGTTGCTAGTCAGGGGGGGACATGACCAAGGCCGTCTTCCCCCACTGCCCCAGCTCGATGGTCATGGCTGGGCTGGTTGTTCATGAAGGGGGTACGTGGGCAAGGCCCTTGGCCCCACCACCACCCTGACTTGAGAGAGCCCAGGGCATTTCCTGCAGTGGCTCGGTGGTCATCGCTGGGGTGGTTGCACTTGTTGGGGGGGTGCGGCTACGGCCTGAGGCCCTCATCATTGGGACTGGTTGGGGGTATCAGGGGCAAGGCTGAGGCCCCCAGCCCTCCCCTCTTTCTGGCTGGTAGCCCAGGGGACTTCCAGTCCTTCTAGGTGTAATAGGTGTTCTTTGGTGAAATGAGACCTTTACTAGTTATCAAACTGTGTCTCTGGTTGTGGGTATTTTGTCTTTTCTTTCATTTCTGTGTTGGATTATTTGCTGTTCCCAACACTTAAACTCCATGCTGGAATTAATTTGTTGTCCTTTGCTTACTTCTAAAGTGGAGGGACTTCCTGTGGGGACCAGTATTTGAGCTCTGTGGTTGAGCTAAATTGCTGCTTTGCTGATGATTTCCTAGGGAAGGCTTTTGGTGCAGCTCAGGTTTTAATGGTTGACTTTATAGTTACTTACCAGATCTGGTGAAATCTGGTGCACCTGGGTTGTATAGAAACATTGGTCTAGGCCTGAGTCTTTTCATCAAACTGTACCCCTTGCAATTCTATATTCCTGACCAGTCTCCTCTGAGTGGTCCTGCACTGATTGGGGGGCAGATCAGCTGTCCTTGCTATGTCCTAGTGTTCCCCTGGTGGACCCATCTCCCTCACCGCCAGTGCTGCAAACACTTTCCATGGGACAGACCATGCTCTGGTCCCTCGAGATCAGCCTCTGAGTGGCTCCTTTTTTTCAGTTGCTGTGGCTCCTCGGTCCTATATGGGTTCACAGAAACCCTGTTGGTGGTACTGCTGGCTTGGGGACCACCAAGGCCCTCTTCTCCCCTGCTACCTCCATGCAACTTCATCTGAAGGGCACAGCTGCGGCTTTTGCTAGCTCCTGCTCCCTGCGCTCAGCAGCTCCAGCCTTCCTTAAAGTTTCCACAGCATGAAATGGTTGGTGTTTTTTTCTTTCTCATATCATGGCTTCTCCCACCTTCATGCACTCCATAGGTCTCTCCTCCTCTTCCCCTGAGCTCTAGTGGCCCCAGCTTGGCTGTCATTGCTCTTTTCTTTTTTTTTTTAATTTTTATTGAATCATAATTGATTATACATATTTTAGGGGTTCAGCGTTGGCATATGTTGATCAAATCAATATTACTAGCACATATATTGTTACAAATCATACTTATTTTTATGCCCCTTGTCCAATCTCTCCCCATCCCCCTTTCCTTCACTCCTCCCCCCTGTGATAACCCTAGATTTCTTCTCTTCTTCTGAAAGAGTAATGGTTACTCTATTGATTTCTTGCCTAGATGATCTGTCCAATGCTGAGAGGGGTGTTCAGGTCCCCCCATACTATCATAGAGCAGATGCTTCTTCTGTCACTCTGGAATGGGCTTTGTGGAGAGAGACATCCTCTTCTTTTCTTTGGTCTCTGCTGCCAACTCTCCTTGTGTCAATGCAGTCTAGTGGCTGGAGGAACATCTGTGTGGTGGTAATGGCATCTAGTCACTTTCACAGCAGTTGTGGTTGTTGTGGTGGCTGTGGTGGGCCACCCACATGGAGGTGATGTTTTTAGCATACTCCTTGGCCCTGGCAGTGTGCTTGGTTGTGGGGGGGTCTGGTCCCCAGATCCATACCTCAGGACCCCAGGCAGGCCCCAAGGTGCTGGCAGTGTGCCTGGTTGTGGGAGGGGGCTGTTGCATTTTAATCATTGTAAATTGGTTGATTTATGGGAGAGAGTGATGCTGGGGACCATCTATTCCATCATCTTGACTAGAAGCCTCTCCTTTTATTTTTAACCTCTCTGTTATTTTGTTTTATTTTTGTTTTTTGTAAGTGGTTTGCTCTTGGATTTTGTTTTCTGGTCCCACTTTAAATTCTTTAATTTTTGATTCAGTTGAGTAGGGGAGAGTAAATGTATTTAAGTTTTGTGGTTAAAGCTAATAGTAAATGTACAGATCTTTCTTTAATTCCCAATTTCAAAGTCAAAGCAACTCTAATGAAAGTGTCTTTTAAAATTGTGTTTCCAGGATCTTTTGAGACTTTTATTAACCCACAGGAATGGGAAGGCTATTCGAAAATGAAACAGGAAGAGCAATTCATGACACAGGAATGGGCCACCACAAAACAAAATTTTTGGAGTCCAGAATTGAGTTCTTTCCAAAAGCTAATCCTTATTAAATGTTGTAAAGAAGAAAAGGTAGGGTTATTTTTATTTAATTAAAGGATTGTGCTATATTCTTTCTCCTAAAGCTCACCAGCTGGTTATGATTCATAAATTTATTTGAGACAATGGCCAAGTTGGGGAGGTGGCTTTAAAAAAAAGAGAGACTTCATGTTATTACTAGAACATAATATTTTATATAAAAAATGATTAAACAAAAGTCTGAAGAGCCAACCAAGGACCTGGCCACCCTTTCCCTGGTGTGTACCATCAGGACACTTGTGCCAACTGCCAGAAAAGACAGGGGTCTGTTGGAGGGCTTTAGCAGGGAATCGATAGGCCTTTCAGATCTTGGCAACAATGGAGAGGAGGCATTTGAAGAATCCAAAATCATGTTGATCAGGACATGTTTGAAGACTATCAAAGTAGTCTGTGTAAGAAATTATGGCAGCCTCAATTAAGGCCGAGGTAGTAGATTGGAGAGATGAGGGGGGATGTGGAAATGAAGCAACTGGTGTGGCTCTCAGTTTCTGCTTGGGTGCCAAAGATGATAGTTTTACCATCAACTATGCAAACATTATAGGAGAAATGCATGAGAGAAAGATGTCAGAGTCTACAGTGCCTGTCAGCTATCAGAGTGGATAGCAGTCTGGAATCCAGATCGTACATGGGTAAGAAACTCTAGAGAGAAATGTGGGTTAGAAATAGAGATGAGAGTTGTTGGTATTGTAGAGGAATAACACCTAACGGAATAAGAGGACAGGTGAGCAACAGATGAAACTCTGACAAGCACCAACTTTTAAAAGGCAGAGAGAAAGGATGAGGAGCCCATGAGAAGGAAGGAATAGAGAGGCAGGAAGAACACTAGGAGAATGAAGTGTCATGGGAAGAAGGAACTGTGAGGTTAGAATGTTGAATGACCACATGGAGCCTGAACTTGGGTTGTGTCATCTTGGATTGTAGAGGACCAGTACCCAAGGGGAGACAAGAATTAACGAAGAGTCATGTTTATGGGGTCAGGAGGGTTTCCCAAGCTGCTGGCCTGAGAAGCACCTTAGTTTATTTTAGGTTCTTTTTATAAGCCAGTAAAAATAACATATTATGCTGATTAAGGCAGTTATGTCTGGTACAAAGCTGTTTATAGAACACTTTCTGTTGCCATGGCACTTGAAGGTTCATGGCTAACTACTTATCAGCAAACTAAGAGCTTAAAGTCCTCCTTTACAAAGTTCTCAGGGTCACGGGTTCATTCAAAGTTCAGGTCTCAAGGAGAAGGAGAAGGGGGAGACAGGCAAATGGGAAGCCAGCCTTGCTGGCGTAATTCCCATGAGATAACAAGTACTCTATCAGCTTGTTACTTGGTGCCTCACATTGAATAATGGCAAGACAATGCCTGTGATGCAGTTGATAAATTAGTAACACTTTGTTCAATAGAACAGACATAATAGAAAGGAGGGTTGTGAGCCAGGTGGAAAGTTTTCATTGAATATGGACAGTGGCTACCAGGTTGAATGGTGACAAAAACGAGAGGGTAACTAGACAGCATGAGTCCCAAAGAAAAGGGAGTTTTAGACATTAAGACATTGAAGCTAGAAAATTCTCGACTGAAAAGTTTTGCAAGACATACTATCTGGTTTCTTCAGCAACACATTTTGTTTATTTATTTGGTTTTTTGTTTGTTCATCTGTTTTGCAAGGGGAAAAAGGAGATGAAGGATGAAGTTTACAGATTAGAAGGGACTTAGGAGAGAAATCAGCCAATCTCTATGTATAAGCCTCATTTAGATCCTGATTTTACCTGGCCGGTTAGCTCAGTTGGTTAGAGCACAGCCTTATAATCCCAAGGTCATGGGTTCAGATCCCCTTACTAGCCAGCAACAAAAAAATAAATAAACTTGCTATTACTTGAACATACAAATGCATGTTTATAATTTAATTAAGGAAAGGTAACACTGAATACATATTTGGTGATTTTAATGAATTATTATTTTTTTCAGATATGATTGCAGTACTGTGATTATACTTTTTTAAAGACTCTTTGTTTTATAGAAATATACTGAATTACTTAAGGATAAGATGATATGATGAATGAGAGCCTCAAAATAATCCTGGGAGCTGAAGGAGTGGGTAGGTGTATCAATGAAACAAAATTGGCCTAATAAATGTTGAGAGGAGAGTGACATCACCAAGACAGTGACACTCTCCCCCACAACCAATCAATTCACAACTATTAAAAAGCACAGACTGCCTAACTAGGACCTCTGGAGCTTAGGGGAAGAGAAGGAGAGACCCACAGAGTTCGTGAAGGCAGGAGAAGCCACAGCAAGAAGAAGGAGCTGCTCCAACAAATTCAAGCCCTGGCCACCTCAGAGCCAGCCCATTGAGCACATGAAGCAGGAGCAGGCAAAAGCTGCAGCTGAGCCCCTTGCATGAAGTTGTTGGAGTTTGCAGGGGAGAAGAGGGCCTCAGAGCATGCTATACCAGCTACCAGGCCAATGAGACCACTGATAATATTCCTGTGGACCCACTAAAGCTGCCGCCGACTGAAGAAAGGAGTTACCAAGAGGCCAGTGAGTCGTCAGGAGGGACCCATCCTAGCCCACCACAAAAGAAGCATTTGGAGTATGAGGGGAAGGCTGGGCCCACCAGGGGATCATTGGGGTACAGCGTGGACAGCTAATCTGCCCTCTGATCAGCACAGGCCCACTTAGTGGAGACTGGTCAGAGCAGTAGAACTGCAAGAGGTGAAGTTTGCTGGAGAGACTCAGTCCCAGCGCAGAATTTCTACGTACCCCAGGTGTATCTGACCTAACAACACCTGCAAGTGATTCAAAGGCCAACAATTAAAATCTGAGAATCTAAAAAGACTTCCCCAGAGAATCATCAATAAGAAGCAACTTAGTTCAACCACAGGGCTCAAGTGTTGGTCCCCACAGGAAGTTCCCCAAATTTTAGAACTAACCAAAGGACAGCAAATTAGTTTCAATGCAGCATTTAAGTGGTGGAGATAGCTAATAATCCAACATGAACTGAAAAAACAAAAAAAAAAGAGACAAAACTCTGAGATTAGCCAATAAAGGTCTAATACCACCAAAGAACACCTTTAAAACCTAGAAAAAGTAGTAGTCTCTTCGAATGCCCAGGCATCAATGTAAAAACACAAAGAGAGAGAAAGAACAGAGAAATATTACACCATCAAAGGAAACAAATGAAGCACCAGCAATGGACTTAGAGGAATGGCAAATTTAGGAAATATCTGACAGAGAATTCAGAATAACACACTTAAGGATGTTCAGGGAGTCACAAAAAATACAGATAGAAAATTAAATGATATCTGGAAAACATCTCAGGAGCAGAATGAGATACTTGACAAAGGAATCAATTTTTTAAAAAGTAGAAATTCTAGAAATAAAGATTACAGTATCTGAACTGAAAAACTCCATAGAAAGCTCCAACAGTAGACTTAATCAAACCAAGGAAAGAATCAGCAAACTCAAACATATGAAATTATCAAGAAGAAGAAAAAGAAAAAAAAAAGGAAAATGTAACAAAAATACAGCAAATATGGGACTCCCTCAAGTGAAATGACCTCCACATAATTGACATACCAAAAGGAGAGGAAAAACAAAGAGATGTGGAAAGCATATTCATGGAACTAATGGCTGAAAATTTCCCAAGTACCAGGAAAGATGGCAGCATCCAGGTACAGGAAGCTCAGAGGTCACCAATCAAATTTAATCCAAGGAGGAACACCTCAAGGCACATCATAGTCAAATTATCAAAAACCAAAGACAGCAAAAGGACACTGAAAGCAGCAAGAGAAAAGAAACACATAATATTCAATGGAGCCCCAATACATTTCTCAGCAGATTTCTCAGCAGAACTCCTCCAGGTCAGAAGAGAATGGGATGAGCTATTCGGAGCACTGAAGGAGAAAGATTGTCAGCCAAGAATTCTCTATCCAGCAAAACTAACTTTTAGATATGAAAGAGAAATAAAGTCTTTCCCAGACAAATAAAAGCTAAGGTAATTCATCAGCACTAGACCTGCCTTACAAGATATATTAAAGGGAGTTCCTCAATCTAAAAGAAGATGATGCTAAGAAGCAATAGGAAAACATTTAAAGGTACATAATTCATGAGTAAAGTAAGTTCACAGACAACCTCAGAATACTGCAATGTCATAGGGGCTGTGGGTGCATAAACTGCTTACATCCTTAGTTGAAGACTAAAGGACAAATCTAACAAGACAACAATAAATACAATGACCATATAAGACATATCAAATATTAAAAGATGTTACTTGAGGCTTCTGGTCAAGATGGCGATCAAGCAAGATTGGGAGGGAAGAATTAAAAACAAAAAGCATAAACAAGTTTTTAGTGTCTTGTGGGTACTTAATAACGACAGAAATGTAGTTAGCAGAGAACTTCCTGTTTTAAAGTTGGACTAGACTTGTGGTCAATATGGCAGAATAGACACTCCACAGTGTTACTCTCTCCCACAATTCAACTAATTTACAACTATTAAAGAGCAACGAGAGCCAAGCTGGGGATACTAGAGCTCAGGGGAATGAAGGAGTGACATGGAGTGCTAGAAGGCAGGAGAGACCATGATGAGAGAAAGAAAAAACTGTGAGGGGCATATTGAGCCACAGCCACTTCCAGGCTGGAGCTGCTAAGTACATGGAGCAGGAGCAAGCAAAAGCCATAGCTGTGCCCTTTGGAAGAAGTTGCTTGGAGGCTGCAGGGCAGAAGAGGGCATTGGTGGGCCCCAGGTCAGCAAGACCACTTATAGGGTTCCGTGGACCCACATAGGAGTCAGGAACCATAACTGAAAAAAAGGATCCACTCAGAGGCTGGTGAGTCATCACAAGGGACTGGTGCACAGCCTACCCCATGGGAAGTGTTTGCAGCACAGGCGGTGGGGGAAACAGGCCCACTGGGGGAAAACTAGGGCAGAGCAAGGACAACTGATCTGCACCCCAATCAGCATAGGACCACTCAGAGGAGACTGGTCAGGAATGCAGATCTGCAGG